TGGGATATATAAGACTGAACGAAAAATATAAGAGCTAAGCACTTGTTTTATATTTTATATATTTTATTATACTCCATTCTTTACTATTCCTTTACACTTATGTATCACCAAATAATCATTAAACCTTTCGCAATCCCTCTACAATAATCATTTTATATGGATTATTGTTGCGCTATTGTTCCACTACATTGACAAATCGATTCAACTAATAGTAATTTTATTAATATTAACAGTAAGAGACTGAAATTATAACACAATACTAACATAATACAAAGGCATATAACAGAATGATTGCATACACGTTACTCTTACTCCTATTTTTTCTAACTTCGGCATAAATCCTCGAGTGACGTAAATATTGGATGAGTTATCCTAACTTGATTAACAAAAAATTCTGGCATATTTAAAAAAAAAATTTAATTATGCTTATTATTCTTCCCACAAGAATTTTGATTTATTTATTTCTGACGTATTGATTGAATCTATTATAGATTTCCAATGAATGCGTTATTTGAAATATGCACCTCATATCATAACACTTGTATGTAAAAGATTGTGTAATTGTTATTTATTACTTTATATACATATTTGTCATTCTTATTCCTTAATAAAGCTTTGTAAACACATTTTATAGGTTGTCATTTTACGTCTTATTTATAAACATTATTTGTAAATTTTTCGTGAACCGTACATCCCATCCCCTTTCCCCTCCTATGAGTAGCCGTATATCTCATTTTTTTAATACGAAAAATAAATATTTCGGGTTTCTAACATTTTTTTCATAGTAGTAGATAGCAAAAAGTTTTTACTGGTATAGTTAATTGGTTAGTTCATTTACCTTAAACATAATAAATAATAAATAAGGTTTGATTAGGTGCGGTGTATATACCGGAGTTATTCTAATGCAATCAGATTTTTTTTAATTGTAAAAGAATTACTCTCTATAGAACCTGCATCACAGATCACATCCGCAATGCGACAAAGTTATTTTATCACTTTTGCGCATTCGATTTTACGCGAGTATTATATACGTGGTTGATTAACTTTAACTTCTATTTTCTTCCATAAATTCACTAATAATGAATAATTTAGCTTTTTATCTGTATTAGGAAAATTTTTATTGTAATTATTGTAATTTTTAGAAGGAAATTAAAAATTAAAATCAAAATTTTATCGATATTTGAACTCATTATAAATATAAATAAACATTTTCGATATAAATATGTTATTAATATGAAACACAAGTATATTAGAAAATATAGTGTTATAATATTAGTACTACAGAACTGTATATAGAGGAGAGTTTTTTGACTAAGTTGTACCGATGTTTAATTCGTACCTTCATTGTAATTTCTGAACGAACATTTTTTTGAAGTGACAATACAGATATGACATTAGTAACATTACTTAAATATTGTCATTTTTGTTTTGTCTTTGAGCGGTTCGTTTACGTATAATATTCAAAATTGATTTTGTTTAATGTTCGATTTCAAAGTTTTCATGTAATTTACCTAAAGTGTGATCAACATAAAGCGAGTAATTGAAGCTTAGTGTACTACAGGATTATAATTGGTATTTAAACTCTTTTCGAGAGTACAGCATCAAATTAGCAATATTTTTTTGGATTACGTTGCTGTTGACAAATTTATTGAAATATGGAGGAAGTTGGGTAAATCGTATCTGTCGCTAATCTTTATACTGTAGTTACATTTAAAATAAAATAACATTAAAATTAAGTTGAATAATATCTGTCGCTAGTTTTCTCATTGTACCTATATTTAAAGTAAAATAACATGTTAAGATCAAGTAATTGAATAATATCTTATAATTACTACATTTTGATATTCGTATAAGAAAAACTATGTATTGAGTTTTTTTAAGATAACGATTAAATACGAAATGTTTGCAAATTATATTTGGTTTCTACGGTTAATTTATCATCACATATACTGTCAGTATATTCCTTTAAATTTGCCGAGACATTCTATTGACGAAATGAAGGTATAGTAGACACTTTGCAAAATCTGTTTTCGATAAATCTAACTGTTCAGGTTGACAGTATTGTTGTTAGTACAAACATAACACGATGACAATTGCTCTGTTTCCTGTTCCTAAACTAGACTGTACTAAACTGCACTAGAACTCTCTTTCGACAAATATCCAACATATACCTATCTCACTTTAAGTTCCAAAAGTGTACACCAGTTCAGCCACAGAAAACAGACCTAATATCGATAACAAAACTCGAATGCATAACTGGCGTCGAATTCTGTTTGATTTCTATTACTAATTCGTCATATTTTGTTGACAAATTTTTACATTTTCACCAGCATTTGACTGAAATATTATAACATAACAAATTTTGCTCCATATCTGTAACTTTTCCGATAGAATTCAAAGCAGCTGCTTCTGTTCAATTTTAAGACAGAGTTGATCGCCTGGAATAGTTACGTCCCTGTTCGCGCTTGCCAGCTTCTTCCCGTACCGTTTTTCCCCCTCTTTCTCTCTCCCTTTCCTTCTTCATCGCTTCAGTGAGGCTGTTCTCTCGTGTGGCTGTATCCTGAACTGAATAATATTGGAATTGTCGCGTGTGTGACTACTGACCGCGCAGATACCCTCTCTAAAGATCTCCGTGACGCTTTATAAGGATGGTACGAAGGAATATTCAGAGAGGACACGTGCAAGTTCTCCCGGAGCGCAATCGTGGTAAGTTCTGCGTTCCTATGCATCTCTACAATTGCGGAAGTATAGCTAGCCTGGCATGCTGACGATCGTTGATCGGGGAACATATGGTTGGTAACGTGTAGTAGTGGTCCTCTGGTATTCTTTTCATATTATGATCATAAAAGCTTCCCTGTATATTGCGGTTGTGATATATTCGAGAAAGTTTGTATCATTAATCAAGTCTATTTTAGATAATTTAGATAAATTCACAATGGATTGTTCATAATTTTACGTATCTCATAATATATGAAAATTATTTAAAAAATGGAATATCCACACGTGCATGCATAATACGTATTTAATATATATAAATATATATACTAAATATACGTATTAAAATACATATTAATTTAGGAATATAATTTTATTCTGTAAATTTTTATATTCTCAAATTATAAAAATAATTGTAGATTAATAAATTTAAAAAAAGTCGAAATTCTTTTATTTGACACTTATATGTAAAAAAAATTTTTTTGTTTGGCGTAATTTATACGGGATGTCTCATTTTAATTACCACAGGCAAATATCTCGAAAAATATAAACGATGTGAAAAACATTTTAAATAAAAAGTTGTATGACTTGAAAGGAAAGAAATTTAATAGTAAAAAGATCAATTTTAGAAAAAATCGATTTTTGTGATCATATGAAGTTTACGATCTTTTTTTTAAATAGAATTGTATGATTTTTTTTTAATATGATTCCTTCAATTTCACAGGCCTGCAAGATTTTTCTTTAAAGATGTAGGAGTTTCCTATGTATTTTTGCGTGCTGAATCAGAATGTGGCCACAAAATGATATCGGTGTATATTAAGGGTAGAGATATAATTTCAAAGAATGACATTAACCATGGTCTTTTGAACAGACAAGTGGGGGGTACAACTTCAAAGCGTGACATACCTGTGCTCCCCACCAATAGGTATATGTCAGATAAAAATACCATACGCTATCGATTCAAAATGGATTTTGAGAGAAAAGAATAGTACTTTATGATGACACATTGATGAGTTTTTAATAAAGTCATGAAAATGGTTAAAAACGTAATTTTTTCGATATATAACCCAATTTATCTTGAAAATTTGATGTGTTATGCTCAAAGACGCAAATTCTGCAGCGTAAAAATGAATTTGTAATGCAAAAATGAAAATAAGAGGAAACCTACCTACAGGAATTATCTAAATGTGAAAATAAGAGAAACCATCCTCTAATGGTCTTGATCTTGACAAATGTTATCCAGGTAATGATCTTGGACCATTCGAAAGGTTTTAGCCGTCGCGTCGGTCGGACACCTTGGTTAATGCTAACGCCGATAGTACTGTAACTTTTAAGCCTTATAACTCGAAAAGTTTTTAATGAAAAAGAATATCATTATATAATGTTCCGAAAAGCTCTTGAGATAAGATTCCATGTAAAAAATTCAAAGTGACATGACCTTAATTATGCCACTCAAAATCAAATCAATGGTACCTTCTTATGTCTCTTTCCGAATCATACAACTTTTGTTTGAAACATTTCTCCATATCTATCATAATTTTCGAGAAATCTGAATGCATTATTTAAAATGGGACACTCTGTATAATAATACCTAATAATTTTCAAATATTTTATCACAGATACATATAGTAATAATCTAGTAATTAGTTTACTATGTACATATTTCATGTGCGATGGGCTTAATAACTTCCGATCTCTCGCTCTTTTTAAAAATGAAAAACTGAAAAGAATACATCCTGGATGCTGAAAACTTGGCCGGAATGGCCAGACGTCCTCGAACGCTTTCAAAGGAATACATGTCCGGGAAAAAGCGGACGTCTAGTCACCCTATTGACTATTGTCGATCGAGATGAAAGATATCTTGATATTTTTAAGTTTTTTAAAAAATAAAATTTGTAACGGAGCTGCCAATAAAGGTAACATCGCGATGTTACCTTTATTGACAACTCTGCTATAAACTTTATTTTTTAACAAACTCCTATTGAAATAAAACTTAAAAGATTGATTTTACTTAAAGTTAATTGAAGGATCTGACAATGTGTGTGCCAACAACGATATAATTATTGTGCAATACAGAAATGATATTTATTATTATAAAAAGAAAAGTTGTTTAAACGTGGATCACATATGTGTATATAGTCCCGTATTAATTAATACAGTCTTAATTTGCTAACAACGTTAAATTAAAAAAATAAGGGATTATTAGCAAGATATTTACGATCTTATATTAACTTGATTTTTCTTTTATCTTTTTTTGTAACGTTTTTATTTATTTCTGTTTACAGTGGCAGGTCTGATATACTGGCGCGATCCAAAAAAGTCAGGAATTGTGTTCGGCACGATACTGGGCGTACTTCTGTCATTGGCCTATTTTAGTCTGATTAGTGTGCTGGCTTATATGTCACTTCTTGCCCTTAGCGGTACCATTATTTTCCGTATCTACAAAACTGTTCTTCAAGCAGTTCAGAAGACCTCGGACGGTCATCCATTCAAGTAAGTATAAAATGATGAAAAATCTTTTAAAAGCATCGTGTATATGTTCTTTATTTTGTTGATTAACATATTTAGTTTAACATATTTTCAAAATGAGTATAATTGCATAATTTTATTGAAAAGCAATTATCGTAAAACTTTCGAAATATTGGACGACATTGATAATAGCTTCCAATGTGTATGTATTAATTTATAAAATATAATGTTGTATACGAATGTGTAAAAAGTTAATATAATATATAATTTAAATATTTTAAATATTGAAACAATCTAGCACTAATTTCTTTATGATAATTTCGAATAAACTTCGCTTTAATTAAGCCATTATCTATATTGTAGAGACATTCTTGATCTGGATCTGACATTACCAGCTGAGAAAGTACATGAAGTCGCAGATGTCGCAGTTGCACATGCTAATGCAGCTGTCGGTGAATTGCGCAGACTTTTCCTCGTTGAAGATTTCGTTGATTCTCTTAAATTTGGCGTTTTGCTATGGTGTCTCACTTACGTGGGTTCTTGGTTCAATGGCATGACTCTTATTATAATCGGTAAATTCTTTTATTGTACAACATTGCTCTATATTTTACAACTATGCATAGAATCAATTCAATAATCGGTCCATTTTATCTTTCAGGAGTGGTTGCTCTCTTCACACTGCCTAAGGTCTATGAAACGAATCAGGAGCAGATCGATCAGAATTTAGCCTTGGTGCAGACAAAGATCAGTGAAATTACCACCAAGTAAGTTGAACAGAGATTTCTTCAATTTATGAGAAATTTTATGAAGGAAATTTTTTCCATGAAAACAATGCAATAAGTTTTTTCTCTTTTATTACGCAAAAAATTTTGTCTTATTTATTGCGTTAAAAATTTAAAATATGTCGTCTTACTATATAAATCTTTAGTTAAATCTATTTTAATGCATACGCAGTTTACTTGTAATTACATAATGGGTGCGTTTAGTACAACCGCTTACTGAGCGTTCAAGTGAGCTCAAGTAAGCTCTTACATTTGATTGGCATATTTCATTGTATCCAAAAATATACACTAAATAGCGCTCAGTGAGCGATAGTACTGAATGCACTCATTGTTGAGAAAATATGCTTTTGTGATCAAACAAATTATCGACGCATAATTTACTTGCACTGAAAAATTGTAAAATTGTAATTGGTGCCACACATTATTAGGCACCAAGATCTATTATGACTGAATATAGCTCTCGTCAATCATTTATATAATAAGAATTGAAACTGATATTATCTTATGATTTCAAATTTGGATTTATAAACAAATCTAATTGATTTTTACATTCTTCAAATAATAGAAATACGACAAATAATATAAAAATCGTGTTTACGTATAAGAGAAAATTGTGAACTCACAAAATATATTTTTTCACTTCGTAATAACGTTTAACAAATTACATACACGCAAATTCAATTTTTACAATAAAGTATTATTTCTATCCAATAAAATTATGGAAATAGAATAAATACGTTGAATTATTTTTTTTATTGCTTCTTGTATTTTTGCTATAATGTTTCTTAAAAATCAATTATTCAACTGTTTTAGAGTGAAGGCGGCAATCCCTCTTGGCAAAAAGACTGAGCCAATAAAGGAAGAATAAAAGAAAGTCAGAGTGGCAACAATCCAACGAACAGCTGAAACAGCAAATATAGAAAAGTTTAAGTTAGAAGCAAACGAAAGAAACGTGAAAAGTGAGAGAAGAGCTTGAAAGCGCGTGTAAGAAGACTAATACACGATCGAGGAGAATACTTGCATTATTAAAACGAGGATTGAACCTTGTAACTACGCGGGAAGTGGGAATTATTGGCGATGGGAATTCTTTGCGAGCTTGGCCGTCGTATTTCCGGAGAAGAATATCAATTTTTTGAAGTCGGCAAGGATCGTGCACGCGTACATCGACATTCTAATCACGAAAATTCTTATTGAGGAAGTAAACACCGCGAGAGAAAGAAAGAAAAAGAAAAAATAACACTTAGTGATTAATTAATCGTTTATTATTACGATAAAAAGCGACGGCATGTTTTTAGCCAGCAAACAATGCAATGTGCGCGGGGTAGCTTTCAAGGATGAAATCAGCCCTTCGTCTCTCCCTTCCTTCTTTTTCGTCGTACTATTTGACAAATGTGTTTTACGGTTATCATAAACTTCGTGTTTTTACCTATCCGATGATGTCCTTTGTTTTTCTCTTCGCGAAAAGAGAGAAGTATGAAAGCAAACGAGAAAATAAAAAAAGTAGAATGAATGCTTATGAATATGTGAGAGAGAATGAATAATAAGGCTGTATGTGATTTATCTTAGTCCTGTCTTCGTCGGAACGTCGTATTTCGCTTGGATCATTATTTCGCGGATCGGACGCCGCCAAAATAATCGTTTTACGACAAGATATAAATGAGAAATGGGGGGTGTCGGAAAAGATAGTGATACTTTAAAGATTTAGAATAGAAAAGAATGGCGAATACGAGATGTCCAACGTATAAATAGAATTTATTCGTCAGTGACTTTAAAGATCTTATAATTACCTAATTTACAGCGATATCCCCTAACATCTTGATGTTTTCAGTTGTTGTGTTTGAGAGAATTAAATGGAGATTTAATAATGAATTAAATTATGCAGAAACGTGTATATTGTATCTGTCTCTCAATGACGTTGACGTTTGCATAATTATTGCTGCTGCATCATTAATTGTAATTATATCGTTATGTACGCACTCGCAAATATATATATATATACACAACGTATATGCATATGCTCATGTATAATGTACGTATGTATATGTGTACAAATGCGCATGTGTGCATATGAATGGAAGGGACGACTATCGAAGAAAATGATCTTAAGTGAAAAGGCACGAAATATATTAAACGGTAAACGATAAAGACGCAACTTTATATCATAATACCTACAACTATTAGAAAACGTGTTTTTATCGGGACCGATATCAAAATGTTAAGAATGTGAATTATAACATGCATAATATGCTTCTTGTCGTTTTCATTATTGCATCTGCATTCGCATCCGCATTAATTTATAAATAAATGATATTAAATAAAATAATCGCCTTTCTTTTCGTATTTATCCTATATCTCTTGTACATTTGAAATATCTTTTCTAATGAATTCTGAGATAGTTTTAAAAATATCTAATAAACTCAATACTTATTTTATATGAAATTCTAATTTATTATAGTAAATTTCTACATTTATGATAGCAAGATTTTTTTAGTTTCGAACATGAGACGTTTTGTAGATAAATTTCTTTGAAACAATTTGTAAAAAAAAAGGAAAGAAAAACTATTGTACAGTAAAAAGAATTTCGAATTTTGGAATTTCACAATAGAGTCGCAAGCCGTGTGAAATGCACGTTTTCTGCATTTTATGGACATATCATGCTTCCTGCACACTGGACGCGATATCCAATGAGAATTCCAGTTGGCATCGTCACTTGCGAAAAAGCAGAGCTTTTATTAGATATCGCTCATCGCATCCAATGTACAGTAGGCATTATGTGTAGAATTGTATAATTGGTCTGTTCGCGTTGCTTGAAATTCCCAAAAATTTTTGAATTTAAAATAAGATATATATATATATATATATCTGGGCATTGAAAAGAGAGAAAGCGAAAATGTTGAGTGCAAAAAGTGCAAGCAACGCGAACAGATCTAATATTTTCCCATCCCATCCCTGGGAGGCACTATTCGTGTCATTCTATCTTCATCGTTTATTAGAAAGTAAAACAAGAATAGAATGATACAAATAGCTCTAATAGCGTCTTCCGAACGCATCTAAAGTCATCACGTAATTCTTTTTGTCGTTGAAACGGCCAGTTTGAGCGGCTCATGAAAACGCCTCTTTATCGATTCAAACTGTTGCCGCCACGTGTATGTAAGTACGCAACTGTTGAAGCGCATGCGTCACCTTGAAGCAAGGTGATCATTGCCTTTCGAACTAGCAGCGCATCATTCGCCTTTGGCGATCCGCATCGTGTTGGTCGGGTTCATCTTATCGTAGCAGTTTGTCGCACTACACGTAATCGAGCCGAGTAAATCGCCGTCATGTCAATTCCAAACAGCGATCATGAAAAGAGAAAGCAGATTTCGGTGCGTGGCATCGTTGACGTTGAGAACGTTGGGAACTTTAAGAAGACCTTTAACAGGCATCTTCACTACACCCTAGTGAAGGATCGTAATGTCGCCACAAGTCGCGATTATTTCTTCGCCTTGGCCCACAGTGTCAAGGACAATCTCGTATCACGATGGATTCGCACCCAGCAGCATTATTACGAGAAAGATCCTAAGGTACCCATTCATGTCTCGTATAATTAGTCTGTAAATCAGCATGATTTCTACAACTTTGCATTTCATTATTTTGTCAGTCGATTTTCATTTATGTTTATGTTTCATTGCCATAATCGTACAAATCTCTTTATTACTTCTCTCTGTTTTGACAATTGACGATTAACCTAAGATCTTCTGTTATTTAGACTCGAGTCCATCAATGTAAATTAACTTTAATCTCGGTTTTACTTAATGTTTATTTTTCTAATTCTGGGAGTTAGGAAAAGATAAAGAGTAAATTAAATCGAGTTAATCATACATTGTTCGCATTCAAACGAGCACGTTGCAGTATTTAAGTAGGAGCTTTGGTAGAAGCATATTGAAGCATGTTGGAGCATGTGACGCGAATAAACTTATTGTGGAACCGGGCTTTAATAGGCTTTTATAGATCTGTTCTTTTTAGTTGAATTCTTTGCACGTTTTATTTGTTCTCTTTTCTTCTCCAACGTCGAGAGAAAAAAGGAAAGATGATTCGTGCAAAAAATTTAACTGAAAAGAACAGACTCATATTCAGAATGCGTTTGCAACGATATTAGCGCGCTAGCATACTATAGTTTATGTTAAGCGGCGTTTACAATGAGATTTTAATTGTAACAGTAATCTTAATATGTACCGCAAAAATTAGCCAGTCACAGTCTAGAGTTGTTAAAACTCTCTGTTGTGATTGGTTAATTCTTATGGTACGTCTTACGGTTACAGAATGTGTGTGAGAGGTCCCTTAAGCCGTAAGAAATTAACCAATCACAATCGAATGTGAGAAGAATAATCGATAAATTAAGTTTAAAGCTTAAGTTTCATTAAAATTCCAAAATTGTAGACGCTGCTTTACGCATATCATAGAATCTTAAAGATAAAAAGCGTGCTGAATATACAGTCTTTAATATATAAAATCGAAAATTAAAGATTTGGAGAAATATCGTTCGATGATGGAAAATAATACTTAGATAATCACATCCATTGTGTAATTTTCATTATATTTTTGCAAACACTATTAGATATTTATATACAATAAAATAAAAAGACAACACTTATCTAAATCCATATTTTAAAGCAAAATTTCTTTTCAATAAGAAAGTCTATAGAATTCTAGATAACTTGAAAATTTTATATTATTGCATTATTTTGCTTATCAGAAATATTTTGCAATCATATACAAATAGGAAGTCTTTATAGTTCATAAGTCGATTACAGTTCATTAAGAAAAGAACGCATCAGATCATTAAAAATTGGATAATGCGATTTATCAATAATAGCTTGCTACGTAATGTGCTTCGTATCTACATAAATATATCTAGAAAATGTTTATAAGAATTCAGATAAAAGCTGCGTCTCGTATATACATATATGATAAAGATTTAATAATTTTAAATATATACGTAAAATATGCGTTTTTATTGATCTTATTTCAACCTTTGTATATATGAAAGTATGATTATGATTAATCAGTCAATACGAAGGAAGTACATAGATATGCATAACAAAAACTAGAAAGTATAATGCAATCTGCAATACGCAACTGCATATTTTTTTATATTAAAAGATTTTTGTATTTTATATCAATTAATCTCATTCTGTGTATAAAAATATTAAAAGTGTACATACATTATATATTTTTTATGTTACATCAAAGTATGTTAGATTAGAATATCTTATCATTACTGATCTTTTAATAATGAAGATATATTTTTACTTTTATTTTTGAAGTTTGACTTATACATTTTTGAAAGACTATGTTAAATAATATGTTAAAATACAAATGTATTTCGTAAAGACGACATTCGAACACAAATAGAAGGATTTGAGGCTTGAAGGAGAAAGCAAAAAACCTAACGTATTAGCTTTAAAAGTGAAACATTTATGAAGAAGAAAATACCAATTTGTTTAAAAGACTGAAGAAGAGAAATTACTTCAGCCTCATGAGAACATATTACAAGAAGATGTAATGGAATAATCGTAAGCTTTTAGTTCTTTTTCTTCACCAAGTAAACTATTAATTACTGATTAAACATCAGCGTTCCGCAAAATACAAAAATAAGTAAAGATGAATGAAGTCATTGAAGTTCTTTGTTTTCTCCTTCAATATTTCTTATCTATATTAAAAAAGTCATTTTTATGGAATGTGTTATATTTTAATATAGTATTATATATATTTAATACTGATTATCATTTGAAAATGTTTAAGGCGGGAATACTTTATAATAAATAAATTTTCACAAGTATAAATTGCAAGATACGTGATACGTATCCTTGTAATTTATAAAACAGTAAAAATTTACTTTTTTAAAAAAGGATTAAAAAAGGCGTTAAGAATACGTGTTTCTCGACAAAAATTGTGCTAAGTTAAAAAATATATATCAAGTAGCGCCAAGTTATAATCTCAAAAAATTGCGTTATTTAACTCAACTTAAGTGAGACGTATTTTACTTAACTTAAGTGATACGTATCGTGTAATTGTATTGTGTAAATATAAATTTTTTAAATTAAATTAAATTTTTTTATTTTATACTGTTACCTCAATTAATCCTTTGTAATGAAATCCATTTCATAGAAGTGTAAATTACAGTGTCATTTAGCAAAAAATTGATATTTTAAAGATCCTCGCTTTGCTACTTTACAACGCGAAGCGAGGTTCACCTCATCTTTCCTCCTGCCTAGGAGTGTACGATTTTACACACGAAAGTTTAAAAAGGAAATCAAATTCAAATTTTGGTGTGGGATGATCCTTCACGCTTCACGTGGATTATAGTTGTGCACTCCTTGGCAGGGGTAATTTTGTTTCACGTGGAAAGTCATTATGCAAGGAGGGGAGGGTTTAAGATAGTTCTTAACATTAATTCTTAATATTGTATGTAGCAGAAATAAGACGTTATTTATTAAATTTTTTTTATTTATAGCTTTTTGACAAATAACGACTGACGGGTAAAATTTGTCGAAGGTTACTCAGGATCATGACCTTGATAATATGTGTCAAGAAGCGGGGTCCCCTCAGTATATTTACATAATCTTTTATACAACTGATACATATCACTTGGGTTAAGTAAATTATGTCTCACTTGTGAGTTGAATTAAATTACGCAATTTTTTTGGGATTATAATTTGATGCCAATTATTGATATCGAATCTTTTATACGACTGATACGTGTCATTATATAGCATGACATGGCGTTTATATGATATAACTTTAAAATTAAATAGGGTATTTCTATTGTATTGCAAATCTTGCTTTTTTTCCAGAGAGTATATTATTTATCTTTGGAATATTATATGGGAAGATCGCTGCAAAACACAATGATCAATTTAGGGATACAAGGAGCATGCGACGAAGCTATGTATCAGGCAAGTGCTTTTATTTAAATAAATTTATGTAAATGTATCAAATATATAATGGAAAATGTATTAAAAAATAACACGTCCTAAAAACCAATTTCTTTCATTTTCCAAAATAATTGAAATAAACGAATTATTTTGAAAAGATTTACGCCATTTGTAGATTATTTCCATGTCTTAAGACATCGTTAAATACCAGCATTTTATGAACATAATTTACTTCAATGAAAAAAGTAACTATTTTATTAGGTATTATTTCTGAGTAGTATGAACAAAAATTGCAACGCTAGTTTTTAATGATGTATTAAGATACGATGTATCAAGGAAATAATTCGCAAACCGCATAGCTACTTCGAAGATAATACCGTAAGTATTAAACGAATTATTTTTTTATCAGACTATGTGGAAGAAATAAGAATTAAGAATAAGACTCTACTACACATCAAGTAACGATATAATTGATACGATGAAAAGGGTGTTAATAATCATTCTGTGCGCGTATCATTTAGTTCAATTTAAAAAATCCTCAAGATGAATAATAATCTTTTAACAAACTTAAGCTTGTTCGCAAAATCATGAGAAAACTCAAATTATATGTACGAGAAATTCTACAAGATACTTATGTAAGTACAGGTTTTGTTCACAAGATGAAAAGACAGGGAATTCATTTCACTGTTTACATAGAGAAAGTACTGCAGTGACGAATTGATTCCAAGAGTTTATGTGGGTTTCCCAAGATTCATAAACTGGCATACCATAGAATTATTATTTCATCTATCGATAGTTCTTTGCATTCTTTGACTGCCTTTTTGCATTCATTTTCAAGTACATACCTACACCTGATAGTCATGTTGATAATAACTTTCAATTGGTTTACAAATTACCAAGTCTACAAGCAATGTTGGGTGTCTTTATACATGCATCTAGATACATGTATATATAGATATACATTTTGTGTATCTAACTTGTATCTGAGACATATTCAAATTTGTATCTGTATCTAGATACAAAAACAGATCTGAATTGATTTTCAGATATATTTTCAGATACTTTTCCTTAGCAACGGCATGATTCTATCACATGTGTGTTAACGTACTCCTGATTAAGATCTGAACAAATATAAGTTTGGTTTGTAAAACTAATAATGAATATTTTATCGTAAATCGTTTTAATTGCAAGTTTTTACAAAATTTCGTTTGTCGAGTTTTTGTATTATGTTATAATAGGAGTGATAAAAGATTAAGTATTGTTAGTGCCGAAACTCCGATTTTTGTTTATAAAAAACAGCGTGTGTGATGCATACAAGAATTTTTAGTTACTTCATTATTATGGTTTAATGTTTTCTCAAAATAACGAAACTAAAAGTGATTAATAAATAATTTATTTAGTATGTTTTTTAATATTACCATAATTATAATAAAATACAAAATGTGTGTAATTTAGAAGTATTTTATATAATATATATCTAAAGATATATATACTTTTAAAGTATCTGTATCTGTATATAGATACATTTTCGCACATGTATTTGTATCTAGATACCTTTTAAAAGTATTTTACTCATTGTCTACAAGTCGATAACGATTTTATTTTAATTTTCTTGGACGTAGTTTCTTTGTTCACCAATATCCCACCCTTGCTATACAGTGTAATCAAGAGATGGAATTACATTTAAAAGTTGTAATATGCCTGAGAATATATTTTTAAAGGCTTAAGACTAGTTTTAGAATTTACGTCCTTCGCTTTCAACAACATATTATATAAGTAAAAATTCTTTCAGAGAATAATTACCCTTTGCAATTTATTTTCGACACAATAAACGCGAAACTTTTTTCTTTTTTCCAAGTAGAATTCGCCTCAATCATGTGGAATATAAAGGATGCACGATTGAAGCTTATACTTTAGTCTCTTTTTGAGATCGCTGAGGATGATTCGAAGTAGTGCTAAAACATTCGTTTTGTATCGCTATTTAAATTTATATAGGTTTAATAAATAGACTTTATCTTGTGTTATAAAATATTTATGCTACATGAACTGCGTTTGATTCTTAGAGCCCTTTTCATAATTGTATTGTTACAGACTATTTAGAATTTAAAGATATACACCCTGATGGAAAATTTTTCCTGAATTGTATTGAATAATGAAATATTACTGAATTTTGTGTTGAAATCAAAATTGAATCACTTTTAGTATTATTTTATTAAAATTTTATTAAAATTTAGTAAGATTTCGTTACAAAATTCGTTAATCTTTTATAAATAATTCAATACAAAATATATTGTTATATTTAGTTTTGCGTTGATACAAAACTACAATGTTAGAATGCATGCAAAAAATATGTTATAAATTCGACTGTAGATAATCTGAGCTTCGGTTATATAGACCAGCCTTTCTTTATATCAGCCAGTCGTTATGTGTTTATAACGACAGTTGCGCAGCTTTTGTACTATATAAAATATCTACGCAATTGTCGTTATGAGCACATAACGATTGCATAACAAATTACAGAATACAGGGACCGGTTATACAGAGAACACGACTAAATTTTACATGCGAGAATCGACACCTTCGAGTGGCACTCCTAAAAAGATCAATTCAATGCTTTTCATTACAATATTAACTGATTTCATTATTTTTCAGCAGATTTCATTACATTCTTTCAACTATTAATTCCAACATTATCCTGTTTCTGTTTTTGGTAATTCATTAATAAATCTGTAAAAATAATTGTATACTTTGTTCTTATTTCATTATTTTTCAAATATTTTCATTAATTTTTCTTAAACTTTATATTATTTCATAATTTCAGCGATATTTTTCCACCAGGGAATATTTAAAAAAATATATTTATCACTTTCTTTTGAACTGATGGAAGTGAAAATTATTTTGTGTTTTTCATTTGCTTCAGATAACACAGTATACTTAATCTATTTATTAAATAAGGTGTAATTACACGATTCACACAAAAATTTTGTGTAATTTGTTGATCAAAATCATTATATATATTTATACAGAAGAAAATAAAAAAATATTTTTGATATCTAAAATATAAAAATTTTTTTATTTAGTAATTTTTATTAAGGAGATTTATAGTTTAGAATGAAAAAAATCGTTTTTTCTTAATTGTCAAAATCATAGTCTTAACCCTTACCGTACTAATATGGGTAATTGAGCTAGTGACCGAGCGATTCCTATTCGTGCAAGTTTCTTTGAGTCTTTCGGTAATTATAAATTATACTACATTTTATTATTTTCCAAAATAAAGAGTCAATATTTATTCTAGAAAGTTGAAAGTATGTTAGTGAATTTTTAGAGATTTATTTTATTATTTTGAAGAGGTGAAAAACGAAGAGATTTGAAGTGACCCTTGATGGTATGGATGAGGCACCAAATTGTAGATGGTATGGTAAGGGTTAATAATACTTTTAAAACGATTTTACAAAATTCAAATATTTTGCCTTACAGATTTCAAAGAATCGATGTTAGGGACAGCGCAATAGATACTTTTTTCTTACATTTTTAAACATTTTTCCCTTTTCGATTTCGAATTTTTCTTGAATACATCTAATTGTAAGTATTATTTTTTAATTAAAAAATATAATTTATATAGATCGAAATTCGAGGATAATTGCAATGTAAAATTTCGTAAAAAATTAAGCAATAAAAGTGTAACTTATTTTTTTCGTAAAGCAGGTTTTTAAGTATAAACGTTTTTAAAGTTTGACTAATTAAAAATGTTGGTAAAAAAGTCATTTGCCTGTAATTTGTGTACAATAGTATTAAATGTAAAACACTTCACTGTCACCGACACTAAACAAAACATTGCCGCACACTCACATAATCATATAGTAAGTGTAAAAAGTATTCGTATAGAGGAAATTATGATAAAGAAGCCTTATTTATAGAAAATAAACATTAATCAGCAGTTTTATATGACGAATACATTTTGTCCTAAGAATATAATCGAAATTAACCGTGTTCATGATCTTAAAAACTAATTTTACTTCTTTACCATTTCTTTCTATTTGTGCTTAGGAAACAGATCATTTTAATCATTCTATATGTATAACTATATCATCTATAAAATTCTATATAACTATTTCTTGTAGATGGGTTTGGATATAGAAGAATTGGAAGAACTTGAAGAAGACGCCGGACTCGGTAACGGAGGACTAGGTCGTCTAGCTGCCTGCTTTTTAGATAGTATGGCCACATTAGGTTTAGCCGCTTATGGATACGGTATACGTTATGAATATGGTATATTCGCACAGAAAATAAAAAACGGTGAGCAAATAGAGGAGCCCGACGATTGGCTTAGATATGGCAATCCTTGGGAAAAAGCTCGGCCAGAATTTATGTTGCCGGTGAACTTTTATGGCCATGTGATTGACACTTCCGAGGGCAAGAAGTGGGTGAATACGCAGGTAATAAATCCTTTTAATACATGATACTTTATACATAGAATGTGTTTCAAAAGATTGCTAAATGTTGTTTCATTGCATATTACAATTTGGTAGGGTTGGGTAAGTTTTTTTAACTAAATTAAGTTAACTTACAATTAGTTAAGTCAAAAGTTGAATGAACAAAAAACTAATTTAGTTAAACTTACATTCAGACTGTATTAACTTAAGTTAAATAAAAAGTAAATTTTAAAAAATATCTTTTATCAGGATATCCTAATTTAAAAAAAATTAAATTACTTTAAATTACTTTAAATGAAAACAATTACAATATAGATCAGATACATTTAATATTTTATTTGTAAATTATATAAAATAACAGATATTTCTTGTACCATAAAAAACTGATTTTTAATACTTTTACGTAAGATATTTTCATATTTTGATGTAAAAGAAAAATAAAATAGAATTTATAAGAATGTAAGTAATCTTATATCTTCTCTTTGTGCTGGTTATATTCACACGTTTTTTGAAAATATGAATTGAAATAAAAAGTTTTTATTCTTTTTTTATCGTTTGTTAGACATGAAATGAGCATGATGCAATAGCGTTCCCTAAATGCAGACTCAACTCACGTTTATTTTTGGGCACTACGAGTGTCGCATCCATCGCACAATCATTGAGCTTTTTTTAAATTATTCTCTAATGTTGAAGATTTTATAGAAAATAATACTTATAGAGATAAAAAAAAACTTTAATTTAAAAAAGAAAAGGTTAATAAATTAAACAATAAGATGAGAAATAACGGTTCAAATGATTAAAAATCAATCATAAACTGAGGGATTGAGAGTCAATTAAATTAAAACTTTAATGCTAATATATATTTACTGCAAAACAAAATTCATGCATTTAAACAAATATTTTGACTCGTACATGAAGTCATTATCAAGGTTACAACAATCGGTGATCAAAAATAGTACAAAATTTAAAGTCACATACAGATTGAAAAATTAAAAAATCATGCAAAACAAAATGCCAAATTCATTATAAATCCAGGAATATTAGTAATATAAAATTAGAGGTACTGTTAAAAAAGCTGTTATACAATTTTGACACTCATTGCAATACTCTCGTAGATTAGCGTCAACAGTTTAAACGCACTGTAATGCGACGATGATGCCAATCATTCCGATCATCCTACTTTTAAATTATGAGATCGTGAGTAACAATAACAGATCTTGTGAGGGATGTAACAAATCAGAGAGAGAGGGAGAGAGAGAGAGAGAGAAGAGAGAGAATACTGAAAATTATATTATATAATTTTTTTCCAAAACAAACTATGATGTAACAATGTTTCATTGTAAAAATAATTAATTGAATCTTATATATATATATATATATATATATATATATTGTCGCATAAATAAATTCACATAATATGTAATTAAAACACGTAATATAATTAACACAATATAACTTGTAATTAAACTGCTTTGCCAAGTAAAATTAAATCTGTTGTAAATTGTATGATTACTACTATACGAATATTTTTTTAAATAAAATTCCCCCTCTTCGAAATGCTCCTAATCGAAGTGTTTACATTTAATAACAGCGTTTTCATTTCGAAATGTACTACTCTACCTTATTCAAAACTGTTACTCTTATCTGCTTTTATAATGAGAATATTAGGGTGTTCAATCACAATTTTTTTAGTTTCATTTTTAAGTATATTTAATTAATAATTGTTTACTAGAATTATAAGATGGAATATTATGACAGTTTATTAATGATAGGAATAAACTGATTTCTACACACCATTTGATTATGACAACGATTCAAATTTTTCTCTATGTGTTTAATGAACTCAAGCACAGTTTACTGTTTAGTAAATTTATTATTTAATATATAAATTAAAGAGTTTAAAGATAATTAAATTAAGTTAAAAATGAATTCATTTAAAAAATTAACTGAATTCAATTAAAAGTTATTAATTTTTTAACTTATTTTATTTATCTATTAACTTACTAACTAGTTATTACCCAATCCTGCCATTTGGACTGATCTCTTTTTTTCAAAATGCTGACGTATCTACAATTAAATGGAAAATATAACACTAAAAATCCTGCAAGAGAAAATATGACAAAATTATGTATATACGTCGATACTATATTTCAACAAAGTTTTAATTCAAAGCTTGTTCACAAAAATGCACAAAGTTAGAAATAAATAACGAATTTATCGAAATTTTAATAAAAAAAGATTTCTAAATTTTTTATAGAAAATCTCTGATTAAACGAATGTCCGATGATTTTGGGATACTTCGTGTAAATAATCTGTAATAATAATAATTATGCTATTTTATTTAATATTATTAATACAGGTTATTTTTGCCATGCCGTATGATAGTCCAATTCCTGGCTACAAAAATAATGTTGTTAACACATTGAGGCTGTGGTCCGCAAAATCGCCTATAGAATTTAATTTGAAGTTTTGTAAGTATCGAATTTCAATAAGTTTCTATGATACAACAATAATCTTTTTGTATTTTGACTCTTCTGTATTACTGACTCTTTCAGTTAACGATGGTGACTATATACAGGCGGTGATTGATCGTAATCTGGCAGAAAATATTTCTAGAGTTCTTTATCCCAACGATAATTTCTTTGAAGGCAAAGAACTCAGATTGAAACAGGAATACTTTATGGTAGCTGCTACTCTGCAAGACATCATCCGAAGATATAAAGCTAGTAAATTCGGCTCAAGGGAGCATCATAGAACTGATTTTAAAGCTTTCCCTGATAAAGTAGCTATTCAACTCAACGACACGCATCCGTCCCTAGCTATTCCCGAGCTGATGAGAATCCTTATCGATGTTGAAAGACTGTCTTGGGAGGAGGTATATTTATTATATGCGTATGGCATTATTATCTAATATCTACATATTAAAAAAAAAATATTAAAAAAAAATTTATTAAAATAGGAAAAGAATTACAACTTACAATATGCGGTTGCATACTTTTTCATACAATTATGTACTTTCGTATTTTTTATGTGTAAGATTAATTTATATTTTTTATTCCATTTTAAAATAATGAAAATGACTTTGATATGACCTTGAATCAAAACCAAATTAAAATCATTTTAATATTCTAAGAAAAAATAATTTTTATTTAAAATATTTTTTACATCTCTTAGATTCGGAATCTGGTAATCTATGAGTTATGCGAATTAAAATAAGATATATTCTATATTTTCAAAAAAATACTAAACCTTCGACGTATTAAAAATTTTGATTATTGTAAATAATCGATTTTTTCAATTTCCGGCTTTTATCTAAATGTACACTTAATAGTGACGCCCTTGACAGAATGAATGTATTTATTATACGAAACAAACATCTTGGAATATCTTAACTTTTAGGCTTGGGACATTACGACACGTACATGCGCCTATACAAATCATACGGTTCTTCCCGAAGCATTAGAAAGATGGCCCACTCATATGTTGGAGAGTATTCTTCCAAGGCATTTGCAGATCATTTATGAGATAAATCACTTGCATCTTCAAAATGTCGCAGCTAAATGGCCTGGCAATATGGACCGTATTCGTCAAATGTCCTTGGTAGAAGAGGAAGGTGAAAAGAGAGTCAATATGGCTCATCTGTCAATCGTTGGTAGTCATGCCATAAACGGAGTTGCTCGTATTCATTCAGAAATTCTCAAAGACAGTGTGTACGTAGAATTTTCTTAGTTCTAAATTTAACAATGCTTTGAGAAAATTATTGAAACATTTAATGTGTCTTCCTTTTATTAGCTTCCGAGCCTTTTATGAACTGACACCGGAGAAATTTCAAAACAAGACAAACGGTATCACGCCGAGAAGATGGTTGCTACTTTGTAATCCAAATCTGTCCGATATAATTGAAGAAGTCAGTATTCAAATACGTGAACTGTTATTTTAATTAGGGATTTGGATTTTAAAAAAATATTTCAGTTTGATTCTAAATGCACGATTTATTTAAGTATAATTATTTTAATTAATAACGTTATCAAATAAAATAAAAAATAAAAATGTTCTCTTAAAAAAATATTTTATTAGCTTTAAGAAATGGTTGATTTTCATAAATAAATGAAACATTAAAAATAATAAATTAAAGTAATAAATAAATAAAGTATTAAATACTGAAAAAAACTGTAAATTAATTTTATCGATTTGTTTATGATTCCGGTACCATAAAATAAACTTTGTACAATTTCAATACATCTAATGATTTTGATTCATTTTAAGAAAAGGTTATAAAAGGGTTATCAGTTTCAGTTGGAGTTCAATCCAAATCTTTGATTTTTATAACTACAACTTACGCATGTATATTTTACATGTATATGATTTTGTGAGTTTTTAATAATTTGTAGAAAATCGGTAGTGAATGGACAGTTCATCTAGAACAATTGGAGCAATTGAAGAAGTGGGCGAAGGATCCGGTATTCCAACGTAACGTTGTTAAAGTCAAACAGGAAAATAAATTGCGACTAGCTCAAACATTAGAGAAAGAATATGGCGTTCGGGTTAATCCGGCATCTATCTTTGATATCCAGGTTAGAATACAATGAATACAAATACTGAAATACGTGTTTGATATTTCATGTAAAAGTGTAAAATAATTCCTGAAATAATGATACATTTCTTAGTTGTTAAAAACCGCAGCAATTAATTTATTGCGTGTCATTTCTCGTCTCTAACGTCCACACAACTAGATTGGCGCTTCTTGAGAGCCGAATCTCAAATTCTGCATGAAAAAAAATTCAACAAGGTTTGAGATGAAATGATACAAGATCGAATTACGATATTTTGTCAACAGGTGAAGCGTATACACGAGTACAAACGACAATTATTGAATTGTTTACACGTCATCACTTTATACAATCGAATAAAAAAAGATCCGTCTGCTCATTTTGTTCCGAGAACCGTGATGATAGGTGGTAAAGCAGCGCCAGGTTATCATCTGGCGAAGAAGATCATTAAACTTATCTGCAGCGTTGCTAACGTTATCAATAATGATCCGATCGTCGGCGATAAGCTCAAGTTAATCTTCCTTGAAAATTATCGCGTGACTCTGGCCGAAAAGATCATACCAGCCGCGGATTTGAGCGAGCAAATTTCGACTGCTGGCACCGAGGCGTCTGGCACTGGCAATATGAAATTTATGGTCAGTAATACTTGGCAACGAAATGAAATTTCAGATTACATATTTGTTTACATGTCTGGCGAGATAATCTCGATAATAAACTCATTTGACAAACATGAAACCACAAATACTCTTAATTACTTCTTATGATCTTATCTAATTTATTTAATAAGTATTAACACACACACACACACGTTCGTATGATTGCAGTTATTTTTTAAAAATTGTAAATTATAAAATTTGGTTCAGATAATGGAACTCTGCTTTATTTTTAGCTGAACGGCGCATTGACCATTGGTACTTTAGATGGAGCAAATGTAGAAATGGCGGAAGAGATGGGTAATGAAAACATCTTCATTTTTGGTATGACAGTGGTGGAAGTAGAGGCTCTACAAAAAAAAGGTTATAATGCGTACGATTATTATAACAAATTACCGGAAGCTAAACAATGTATCGATCAAATCCAAGGAGGATTCTTCAGCCCAAATAACCCTGATGAATTCCGAGATATCGCTGATGTATTGCTTAAGTGGGATAGATTCCTACTCCTAGCTGATTATGAAAGCTATATAAACATGCAGGATCGTGTTAGCAAAGTCTATCAGGTACTTAATCTATTATAACTACCTTTCCTACAAGCTTTTTACGAAAAAGACTGATTAGAAAATGTAAATCAACTAGATACGAGAAACACCAATTACATCAAAGTTAGATGTTAGACTAATATAAGCACATGTATTTAAAATAAATTTTTATCTCAGATATATGACTGCGCGCCGATTACTTTTGATAGGTCAATTTCACCATCATTCCTACATTCTTCTTTAAAAAAATTCTAATTCAAATTTTATTTTAACTTGAGATTTTAATTTTTTACAAGATCTCCATGATATAACAGTCGCTTGTTAATTGTTTCAGGACGAGAACAAGTGGGTAGAAATGGCTATCCATAACATAGCATCGTCGGGAAAATTCTCATCAGATCGTACAATAGCGGAGTACGCGCGCGAGATTTGGGGTGTTGAACCGAACTGGCAGAAACTCCCGGATCCACACGATCCTCGTGATATTTAAATAAATTCGCCACTATTTTTTCATAAAGTATCTCGATATTGTCTATCTTCTTTCATAACTAATAATATCCTCCTGTCGTAAACGATAATGTTTAGGACATTAATGCCAAAATAATCATAATTGCACAAAAAAATAGTAGGAATTATTATTTGCAAGTATACAGAATGTTTCAAAATTCGCGAGTTATAAATTCGCAAAATACCACAGTGAGAAAGTCTTCAAAAAATTAAAAAGGATTATTTGTAAATTTTTATTTTAAGCAATACTTTTTTTTGTGAAATAATTATGATTCACATAAGATCATTTACGGACTGTTTATACGTTGAAATGTGCGCGTATTAATACTACCGTATGTGCGATTCATAGACAGATGGTTGTGGAAATATAATCTGTAAGTGGCTATATTTAAAGTTTAAATATATAAATAAAATGTTTAAATTTTAAACTCTTATACCTTTGCAAAAACTATTGTTTTAAATAAAAATATACACAACCTTTTTATTTAATTTTTTGAACACTTGTGATATTTTGATTCGCGAATTTTAGAACACCTTGTATATATCGCGATAATTTTTTACAATATACTATGAATATTTACAGAAATAAGGGCTTTTTAAATGTTGCCTAAAATGGCACAGATATTGCTAGAATCTTTTTATGTTCATCTTTTTTGTGATAAAACTATATATAGTGCAGTACTCTAGTTACTAGAGCAGAACTGGATGATGTCTGCACATTTCGACAGATTTTCAGCTTGGCTCCCGCCCTTATTTCATTAATCAGCACGCAGTCTAAATGCCAATTGGCATTCAACCAAATTGAAAATTGGCCGAAATGTACAGATATAGTCTAGCTCTATATTAGAGTACTATTCTCTTTTTTGTATATAGAATTCAAGAGAATGATTTTATCGCATGATAATGATATCATCTATAAATTAAGAGTACGTTCCATTTTGGGCTTACAGCGCTTGTAAGCTTCATTTGTCTTTGTTTAATGTTTGATAGATAACAAGCATCCCAGTAAGAAATAACAATAAAATCGATATTGAATCGACGTCGATTTGATAGTTTCGACGTCGAATCGACATCGATTCGATGTCGATTCCATTACCATTTCTCACTAAGATGAACTGGGTATCAATCATGAAATTTTATCCCTAGGATGGAAAGCGAAAGGTGAAAATTTTAATCATTGAAGTTAATGGAGAAATTTTTTACTTTTCACTTTTTATCCTAGGAAAAAAGTTTCACGATTGATACCCTCATGCTTACAGCGTGTAAACAGAACGCACCCAACATAGCATCTGTTCAAAATTATCATACACATCGACGAGTATAAAATTTATGAATTAAAATTAAAGATTGGATGATTCTGAATTACATGGCACAATATTCATACACACACAAATTTTAGATATAAATGAATTTAAATTAAATATAATTTCAATTAAATATTTAGATTAAATTTTTATTGACAGATTGAGAACTATTATATACCTACCTACACAGAACATAATATGTTAGATATCCTCTATGGGTACTAGGGATATCCATGAGTTCCTAATCAACAGCCATTAGATATAGCTACATATCCAAATATCCCATTTGATGTCTTGAATATATCCATAGAATATCTAATTTTAAGTATCTATGTGCACGTTATATATATCCAATGGATATTTACATAAACATTTTTTTATACCTCTAGCAACACATTCTATATGTATCTAGATGTCTACTAGTAGTTATTCATATGGACATATGGATATTCATTAGATATCTATTATATATTTTGTTCTATGTAAGTAGTAGTTCTTTTCATATGAACGAAGACAGATGAAAAGACTCAATGATTCCTATTGAAAGGATTAGAAAAGTGCATGATATACTGACGCTACGAACTTTCCTGTAACATCGTGCGATTATACGAGTATAGTATCTTTCAGATATCGAATCATTCTAATCGTGTTCAATATATTTCTTATTGTGTATGATTTATTCAAAAGTAATTGATAAAAATGCCTTTTCAAGAGTAACAGATTCTCAATCTTGATACGCGAAAATGTTCGACAAAACACAAAAAATGTAATGAACTATATGACTGTCTTATTTTATTTTCAATATTAATGAAAGAGAAAAGAGAAAAATATGCTTATTCTCTAATTCAGGCCTGTCCAATTTGATTTCTGGAGCCAAAGCGCAAACCCATCGACGAAAAAGTTCAATATAAGATTTCGGAGACTATAAAGTATTGATACGCGTCTGAGACGCTTATCAACAGTCCATGAAATCTTACATTGAACTTTTTTGCGTTGATAGATTTGCGTTTTGGCTCCGGAGCTCAAATTGGATAGGTCTACTCTATTTTATCAGGAGATTATCTACATACTAATTATTAATGCCGTGGCATATAGTGTTTATATAAGTACTTATGTAATATATTAAAATACATATTAAAATAATAATATATTGTTTAAATAATATATTGTATGTTATAAGAAGAGCATTAGTAACTTGTTGAGAATAAAATCTGTGGTGAATATTCTTGAATACGTTTTTTAGAAAATAACATTTGCAAAAAATAGTTTCTTTGCAACACATTCTATTGTTTTCAAATGCAAGATACATAATATAGGGTTGGGAAAAAAGTTACTTTATAAAAGAAACTAATTACAGTTTTGTTGTTTCGAAAAATAATTAGCTACTGTTACAAGTTACTGACTCTAAAAAGTAACGAGTTATAGTTAGTTATATTTTTCAGTATTTTCTGTTATTATCACAAAACAATATAGGTAACATTTTGATTTACTATTACCAACAAAGAAAAAGATTTATTTACATTTTTACATGTTATACAATTTTATTTAAATTGTATCTACATTCAAAAACTTTATATTTATAATCTTTCTATTCCAATTCAAGTAATATCTTTAATTTTTCTTAAAAAAAAAAATATAAACTGAGTTAAATTAAAAATTTTTTAAATAAAATTTATGCACATTATATAATTCAACCAAATCCAAATGAGTATTTTTGAATTCCGATTCAAAGATAGTTCTATTTAAAGTATAAAAATAAAAGAGCGTAAGAGTCAAGCGCAAAAATTAATGCGCAATAATTAGAACCGTTGAAACAATTTACCACAATATTTAAATTCTGTATTTCAATAAATTCTCTCAAGATATTTCAAAATTGATTTATAACAATTCTTTCTTACATCAACAGTAAATCGACATTTAGAGTCCCACTAGGTTTTGGATGGAATTTCCTTATGTGTAGTGACTCAAATCATAATTGCAATGATAATATGAGCAAACGAATACGAGAAAGAGAGAGGGGGAGAAGAAAAGCGAGATAATGGTGAGGGAGTTTTTCATATACATATCTATAGATCTATACATTATTGACTGCACTAGTTCAGAATTTCCCGTGTTGAAGAAAAACGTACTCTGAGCTAATGAAAATCAATTTAGCTATAAAGAACAGAAATTTATATTATATATAAATTAAGACAAGAGAAAGAATCGAAAATAATATTGATTTGGTTATTAAATAATTTCAGTATTTAATTTTTACGTATAATTATAAACTTTATAGAATTTGGTCTCGATTTCAGTTCATTAAAAAAAAAAACCAAGATTATAGAACGGTTTTCTGTTTTAATTCCGATTCGGTCTGGCTGCCTCTGGTTCTATTATACATTCTAAAAAAAGATTGTTCTCGAAGGTAATAAAATTTTCCATTTTTTTGGAAAGGAATGTTCTTTTTAATAATTAACTTGGTCCATATTTGATATGTTACTAATACATGTTAATTGTCATGTCATTGATTTGATATAAAAAATATTTTTAAACAAGCACTGTTTTAATTATTTTGTATTTCGATTTAGATTTTATATAAGTAATCATTTCGCTTCTCAACTGAATATAATTTCAATTGATCTCTAATTAAAATATGATTACTGAACTGTATCTCAGAATATAAACAATATTTTGATTAAGTATCATCTAATATGCTCTTGAGATTTGAGTAATAAGAGAATTTCACAAAAGCATAACAAAAGAATGAAATTGAGTATAATTGAATGAAAGAACCACGAATCTAATTGATACGCATGGTACTGTGACTCCTCAAAAATGGGTTCGGGAAACTAAACCTGAGGAATATACTAAGAAGCTAAGAAGAATCATGAATCTGGAGACACGATAATCTCGGCGTTAAGACAAGCGAATAAATTAATTACTGCTGATATTTTCGTGAGAATCTATTTTTTTATGAGTTGTTATATTTTAATATTTCAGTAAGTATTAACTACGAATATGCGATATATACATATCTGTATATGTATACATTAATATTAACCATAATATTGTTTAAATGCATACACATTAATTTTAATTCAAAATTATATACACTATACATACATACATATATTTATTTAATTATTATATACACTGTTCAAATTTGCAGTTTCTCATAAAACCGCGCGTCTTAATGAATACATAATATTTTCCTCTGTGTTTTCACTTAAATCATACATTTTTATACTTTTAATATATCGAATAAGAGATTATACGTTCCTTATATACTTATTACGTCTTTCTTTTGAATATAATATATTTATATATAATATATACATAAAAAAGATTAATATTAAAATATCAGAATTATACAAATAGAAAGAAAGCACAATGCGGAGAAATGGAGATAGCGATAGGAATAACACGATTTCAATTTATCAGAGACTGTGTATTTCGGTGTATTCAATTTCTCAAGAGTTAAAATCGTGTTATTCCTATCGTTATCGCTATTCCCTCGCATTTTATCTGGAGCTTAATCCTGTTCGAAGTATGTAAGTGCCAACAAAATCGTGTAAAACGTTTTACCTGAACAAAAAATGGTTCAATATATTTTTTGCCTCTTTTCTAAAGTAAAAATGAAAAAAATGAATTTTTTAGAGTTGCACAGTTTTTTTAAAATATGCGGAAGTAAATTTGTATTTTCATTTCTTTTTTTCAAAGAGGCTTTGTAAAAATCACGATGTAAACCGGTGTAATGTTGCTATTATCATAAATCGACAGGATATCATTAAACAAAAATTACAAATTATTGGGCAGACTGGTATGTGTGTGATTTAGAAATAATGTTATGCCATCAACAGCCAGCAGATAAATATCACTGCTAACCACAAAAATACTTTGGATAA